TTTTTTTTTCAACAAAGCCAATTTTAAAGCATGTTGTGCTGATTTTTTCAGCACAAAGACATACAGGTAGGCTTTTTAGGTGCTGAGCAAGCCTCCCCAAGCCTCTTCAGAGCCAGCCGATCAGCTGTTAGGCAGGGAGAGGAGGGGGCAGGAGCAGAGAAAAGCACAAAATGGCTGCCAGGCTCCCTTCTGGGTGTCGGCTTTTATCTGTTTGCTGCTCTTTTTCCTGCAGTTCGTAGGCTACCAAGGCCTGGTAAGTGACTTTCTTTTATTTATTTTTAAGTTTCTGACCTTTTTTTCCCCTCCAGAAGCCTCTAAGGGGAGGGAGGGGGTACTTTTTTCCTGTTTGTAACTCGAGGGAAGTTCGTATGTTGAGCATGTAATCTCCTATCGGGCGGGTTCGTAAGTTGAAAAGTTCGTATGTAGAACCGTTCGTAAGTCGAGACCCCACTGTATATTCTTCTTCTTCTTTTAATGTCCTCTTCTCCAGAATTGCATTGATTCTTGATTTGGAGTTTTAGTAGTTTTTCTCCATTATGTCCATGCCTGGTATCTTCCAACCCCAACTCTTCTGCCATTTGGAAAAATATTTTAGGTAATGTCTTTTTGTTTTTCCCTTTGTGGTTCTTTTTATAATCCTTCTTATAAGTTTCAGAATTTTCTGTCCAGGATAGTGTTTCAGTCACACAGCTCCACAGTATATCATAAAAGAAAGAAAAAAGCCAACCATCCAGGAACCACCACATGTTTTATCACATGTTTGTGATAAAAACCAGCAGATTAGAGAAAAAGTTAATTGATGAAAAAATTGCCCAGATTGTTTATGCGACAAACCTTTCTTTCTGACTGAAAAACCCACACTTCATTAATATAGTTCAGTCACTGAGACCAGGATACAGTACTCCTGGGAAAGCAGATGTTGCAGGGAAACTGCTGGATAAAGTGTCTTACAGAGAAATGGAGCAACAGTTCTAAAGAATAAAACTGTTAACTTAAGTCTTGATGGGTGGAATAATGTTCACAATGATCCTGTTGTATGTGTTTGTATAACAGAAAAAAGGAAAGTCTCCCGTGCAGAAACAATGGATATGCCATGAAATGCACACACAGAATACTTACAATGGCAAAAAAGCTATAAAACAATTGAACAAAAATTCAAATGCTTAGTACACCATTTGCTGCAAATATATGCAAGATGAGAAGGAACTGAGAAATGTTGGAAGGGAATACAAACATAGTAACATATGGCTGCAGTGCTCATTTGCTGCACCTTTTAGCCAAAATCTTCAGTGTTCCAAAAATAAAGACTAATGTCATTGAAATTGCTAAATATCTCTGTAATAATCAAGCTAACGTTCTCACAAGATGTTGATGGAACTTTGCAGTGGACTGTTTTGAGCTGTGTATCAAGAACTGGCCTATTCTGATGACAGTTTTGTGAACAATATTGAGAGCAAATAGATAGCATTCTCACAGTCAAAATCCTTAACATTAAGAGAAATGTTGAACATATGCTAAGCAGCCCAAAACCTATTTCTGAACTTTTAAACAAAATATACAGAACATTTGTTGATTTATTGATGATGCTGTTGAAATTTGAAAGGAACTGAACGAGCACTTAAGAGCAGAAGTACATACTGACAGAATTAAATTACAAGCATAAAAAAAATGGGACAAGCACTGTCGCCAGCTCATTTTCTCGCAAATATTGTCAGTATCAGGTACCAAGGTCAAATCTTAAGTGCTGAAAAAGATGAGATAGCTATGAAATGGGTAACTATCTGTAAAGGCAACCATAATAAATTTCAGAGCTAAGGAGGAACCATTCAAGAAACAGATGTTTTCATTATATGATTCTATGATTATGGGATTCCCACAGGATAGAGAGACAGACTAAGACTCTGGAGAACAGGGTTCAGATTCCAACTCAGACATGGAAATTGACAAGGAGTGGAACTTGTAAAACCACTCCTTAAATATCTCACTTGCCATGAGAGCCCTATTAAGGTCACACACATTGTGTGTGCACAGAACACACACAATTATGTTTTAAAGAAAGTCACACCAGTGATCTGGTAGAAGTCACTTAAACACCTGGACTTAGATACCACTGAAGTAAGGATTTTATTTTTAACAGCAGTAGCATGTTTTGCTGGCATAAAAAGAATACTGTCTTCCTTTCCACACATTCATTCTCAATTGAGAAACTGTTTCAGACCTGAAAAGCAGGAAAGCTTGTTTTTCTTTTCTAGATTATGAACAACCAAGAAGATGAAGTTGAAGATGAATGAGCTACAGAGGACAGTATTTTAAGTTTTTCATGTGTGGGGACTGGGCTGATAGCCTTACATTTAAAAAAAAAGATATACTGTTTAAACACACCAGTTAACAAACACAGCTGTTTAAGCAAACACAAGAATACACAGGCTTTCTTTAAATCAGATTTTTAAAATTTAAATCAGATTTTTATGATTTTTTCATCATCATCATCCTCTTAGAACTGCAGAGCTGGAAGGGACCCTATGGATCATCAAGTCCAGCCCCTGTCAAGGAGGCACAGTGGGGAATCAAACTCCCAACCTCTGGCTCTGCAGCCAAAACTACTGAGCTATCCAGCAGTTCTTTGATTTAAATCATTTTTTGGAAAAAAAATGAAATACTTTCTGACTAGTAATTTAAATCATGATGACTTCATGATTCTGGGGCACAGCTCTCAGCTTTGCAGAATTTGGACTCCCCTGAGAGAACGCAGCCACCGGCCACAATCATGCTAATTGCCAATGACAAGAGTACTAAGTACTCTACCTTACCTGACTGGCCCCCATGAAGTGCACCCTGTCCTGGAGGAACAGAAAAAGAGTGACATCGTAATAACCCAATACCTTTAATCAGACCAAAATCACAGAGTGAATTGAGGAGCTGGACAGAAAGATATACAAACACACACACAGGTTGAAGTGATAAATATGACTGGACTGCCTTTGTTTCTGAGCGCTTCTGTTTTGAAAAAGCCAAACTAGATAGTTGGAGCCATCGATACATTAACATGTGCCCTTTTTTAGACTCTACTACAATACAGGTAATCCACTTGTTTTTCACTGTAGGTCAATTTTCCCATATTAGGAAAAATTACTTTTTCTGCCTTCACAATAGGTTTTATACAATATTCATCTGATGAAGAGTTCAAGAAAACTTGAAGGCATGTTTTATTAGTACTGTTTTAGTGACCCCATAAAGGTACTGTCCAACTTCAAACTACCTTTCTGCCTGACATGGTAAATGTAGCGTTTCTAGACCATCAGAGACATTTAAGTATGAGGGTACTAGAATAAGCCATCAAAACCATCTTACAAAGTGAGACTGTTTCACTTAGTAGAAAATCACTTATAAAGCAGAAGCTGGAAGCCAGAGCTCCAACTGATACGCACACATCCACTGCACAGGACCTAACAGTATTCTCCAAATACAGGTGGCCAGGGAGGACATGTTACTCAATGGATCTTTCACCACATCTACTCTTCTGCACATGTTTGGAAAATTTAGAAAATCACAGGTATAGTTAAGCAAAAACTTCAGCTCTTTGGATTTTGGACTCAAAGAAGCTTCTCAGACCTCTGTGGATACAATCTCTCCTCCTCTTTAGCAAAACACAACACAATCACTCTGGAAAATCAAGTCTCACAATAATGGGTCAATATCCCTGAAAACCATCAAACACAGCAAGGTATCCACACAGAGGCAGGGAAAGTATATTGATTATAGAAAAGGAAATCTTTCATGCTTGAAGCAAACAAACTATCACCAAAATCACAACCTTCTAGTATAATGGATTGTTAGGTGTTTTGAACAGAGCCTACTTTTTCTTATGTGCTTAGAAGATGCAGTAGGAACAGACTAAAATGGGCTAAGAGGTAATTTTACCTCTTCCTAGGTCCACCACAAGAATCAAACCCCTTATCCACTTATTTGCATAAACATAAAGCCCAGAATGTTGTCATCTTTCTTCATAAGGAACATGTGGTAAGCAACTGGAAAAGAAAGTAAAAATATAAAGGGAAAAGAAATCACCATGAAAATTCTGGAAGAAAGTGAAGGCAAAAATGTGTCACTGACAGCACATTATAGCACAGAACAATGCTTCTTATTCACCAGCACATATCAACTGGAAGCAGATAACTGCAATGTGTTTGCATGACATTTATTTCATATTTCAAAAATAAAAGGGAGAGAAATTCATAGCAAAAGAAATTACACTGCTGTCCCAAATTTATGGCATAACACTGCTGAAAAACCCTTCAAGTCAAAGAGGCTTCCTAAGTTATGGTCTTTTCAGTTTCAGATGAACATGAAAAAAAATCCCAATGTCTTAATCTTTAGATCCTGGAGCATTATTATTGCTGGTTATATTTTCATGTTCTTTGAATTAGTTTTTCAGTTAAGATCCATTTTGTATTTTGAAAAAAAAAATTATAATATTATTTCACTTCTCTGTAGACTTTCCAGAGTACTTACTGTTAAAAAGGGCTGTATAAAAAAGCAATTACGAAATAATAAAGAAAATAAAAGTAAAGAAACACAAAATTACGTGACACGTTCAGCAGCCCATACTCTACTTAATGCTGTAAGTAAGTAATAGACAAGATGAATCTTACAAAATCTAGAAAACAGCAAGGAACACATAAATGGGCAAATGGAGACACTCAACTAGTTTAAGATTTCTGCAAAGAACATTCAAGCTCCCACGCTGACACCAACTTCACATCTTTGAATTTTCTTGCAGTTACAGTCTTATCCTTTATCTTTCAGTTAAGGAGTTTCAGACACTACGCATGAAGCAATTTTTGACTATAAATACTGTCCTTCAGCAACTCCCAGCCACATAACAGTGCAGGAAAAATGCTGTACCATGAGATATTGATCTTTATACTACAGATTCCAGTTCCCACATTTCTCAGAATAGGATCAAAGGCAGAATCCTGTAGAGAGGACTCTTCCACAGCTTCAACAGTGAGAACAAAAATGCAGCTAAAGCCAATCATATGAGAGGAGATTTAGCATTGCAGCTCCTTTACCCTTTTGGCTATGGTCAATGAAGAAATGTATCTAGCAAAGTCACAAGCAGTTCATAGAAGTAAGCTCAAAGTCTTTTCCATAAATTGTAAATCAGATATAATTGTACTGCTTTATTTACTTTTATTTATTTAATTTATTTATATGCAGCCTTTCTCCCCATAGAAAGTATTCCCAGCTTACTTTATACCTTCACAGTTAACAATTCACCTCAATTCTTTTTTTCTTGCTGTATCAAAACAATTGCGTCATACTGCAGTTTACTTTTCATATTGATGGCTGCTGTTTGCTAGTCACGGGTCTGAAGAGAGTTTTGAAAGCACAAACCTGACCCCAGAAAATAGATTGCTTGTAACAAAGCATTCAAAATACAGACAAGGACAGCATTTTCTATATGAAAAAAGTGGCAACTTCAATCAAAAGAAATGACCAGAAACTCTGAGGAGTCAGGAAAGAGGCAAGTGGCTTTTTTCCCATTTGCTACACACAGTGCTTATTAACTGCACTAAAGCAGGAATCAAGATAATAGGCACCTGAAATATCATTAAATTCAACTAATACTCCTATGTAAGATTCTAGCAAACTTCATAGTGCCTGAATTATGAGTCCCTGGAATAAAATATTGAAGGTGAGAGATTAAATCCAGCATACAATAAGAACTTTGTGGGGGGGGGAATCATATTTTTTCTCCTTCAAATTGCTCAGTCATAAAAGTCTCTGGCCATTGTCCAAAACATCAAAAATACAACAAAAGCCAAAAATGATAACTAGACACAGCACATAAGGCCAAGATAAAACTAACACAAATGGTAAACACATTACAGCATATAAAATCAAAATGAAATCTAGAAGTAAATCAAAGTTTGGGGATGATTAACTTTCCTGCTCAGATTACTAAGAGGTCGCCCACCTACAGTGAAATCAGCAGCAAAGCAGAAGACTGCTAAGAACAAGAAGCAAAGTGTTAAGCTGGCACTAGTCTCAAATACTTTCTGAAAAGAACAGACACAAAGTAACTCTTGAAAAGCACTGTGAATATCTACAGTTCCATATAGCTAGAAACAATGTGTAAAATTCTTTGACAATCATTTCATTTAAGTTGTGCTCACAAATAAACTGTGGCACCAACTTATCTGAAAGGCTGAATATGCCAAATAGTCACGGCACCCAAAGAAATTACAGTCATTATCAATTTAATTTGTGACATGAAGAAAAATATGCTTCAAACCTCAGGAATAAAGTTACTGTAAGACAAAATTTGGACAAGTTATATAGGAAGAATTTCCTTTCAGAAAAGGATTCCCTAAATGTTTCTACCCTTGGGTTAAATAACAAGCAGATCTTCTCATTTGGCAACTCCTCCTTGCAATCCTTATATGCACTGAAAATTTGCAGTTATGTTAATACACAAGATAGCCACCACTCTACATTTCAGAACTGAACCATAACAGCACTCTAAGTAGCAGCTATCAGAAGGATTACACATGAATTCCAGATAAGAAGATGACAAAACAGAAGGCAGGAAGAAAGAGAGTGACATGGTCCAAAGCAAGGGATATCAGCCATCTAGAAAAAGAATGAATGAAACCATACATATATATATTCCACTCTTCTTCTTACTATGCAAGACATAATATACTTGGTATAATTTAATCTTGGAAAGCACTTGAGGATACATTAATACAGATCAATAATAGCAAAAGGGAATAATTATTTCAATATATTTGAACATTCTTTATTTTACACAATAGACAGAGCACTACAGCTGGCCATGTTTCATTAAAGCTCATTTGTGAGTTCTGTTAAGTCTTTGTAATTCTGGAATGTGAGAAACAGAGCTATTATTACACATCTGAATATATTCTGCACCAGAGAATCTCTTTTGTTCGGATCCATATAGTCATTCAACACTGGAAATCTCTGTTTGATTAAATCATTGTTTAATGTCCATTCATCAGCCTAAAAAATGGTAAGCTATCTCCTTGGTATCAGAAAGAAACACGGAGATCCTACCCATGATAAAGATCTCTCTGTCACACATTACAAATATAAATCATACATACATTTAAAATCTGTTTAGAAACAGTGTGAGCCAGAAGACTAAATCATTCCTCAAACCATCATGAGCAGCCAAACGGCCAAAGTGCCTATGGGACACTTTGGCTGATCATTTACTTTTAGAAAGAACAGTTTTATTTCTGCTCCTGACTAGGAGCACCTGCTATTAGGAACAAAGTTCCATATCATCAAGAGGGAGTTGTATTGCTGCAGTGCTTGCCATAAGGACAGTGATGAAGCTCAACACAACAAACTCCCAGTTTCACTACAGCATTCCCAGCACTCATTAACATGCCATACTCTTCACTGTGGTTAACAAAGTTTCCCTGTGATTTATAGACGTTACTGAATTTAGGAATGCTTGCAAAGCAGCCACATGGGACAAACCAGGAATGTGAGCTCTGTAGTTTAGTTATCAGTAAAACAACAAAAGACTTAACTCTTTCCTAGCATGAATACTGCTAGCTGTGGAACGACTCCTTATTTCAAGATACTAGCTGCAATGACTGCTTCTATGACCAGAACAGGCAGATACCAAAATCGTTCCAATTTGCTCACGAAGTTCAAACATTTATTCCCACATTTTCTGAAGCATAACAAAAGGAAAATTCTGGGTAAAATTATGATCCAGTCCTAACTAGAATAGATCCAATGAATCTATTGATGTATGGCCCATTCTAGTTGGAACAAGCAATTAAATTTAAACCTCTGACCCGGCCAGCCATAAAAGCAGTTGCCAAATAAATTTTGAGTAATCTTATTCTGTGGGGCTAAAGGGGGAAGGATTTTAAAATACCTTTATTGTTTTTAAATACTGTAAAAGATTTCAAAACAAATCAGCTTCCTTTTTAAAGGACCTTGTCCTTTTCCAATTTTTTGAAGAACAGGCTTCTGTCTCTCCATCCAAGTACAAGAAAATGTAGTCTACCCCAAGAAGGTTTAAAGAGAAGAATAACACTTACAAAGTGCAATTTTTGAAAATAAACATTATTTTCTATAGATGATCTTGTTGTACAGACTGATTCAATTCTCATTTATGATTTTTCAGAATCTCAAAATATTGCCATTTTCCAGACAAGGCACACTCTGCAGATGAAATTATGCAAGCTGAGAACATAAGTATAATCTTACACAGGTGTACTCATGAGTTCAACAGAACTAATTCCAAGAAGAATGGAAAAGAGTTCAGCCTCACTCAACATTGACTAATATATTGTGGCTGGAAAGGCCTTATTGCACTAGAGAACTTCTAGCTGCAAATTTTGGGGATCATTTTCCTGACATACTGAAAAAATTACAAGTTTTCTGTAAATGTACAAACTCTTTTCATGAAAACAAATCCAAGACTATTACAGGTCCAGAAATAAAGTTTAAACAAAACCATATATTCTGAAAAGTAAAATCAGTAACTCAACACAACTAGAGTACACTGTATTTACATACAGGCCAAAATCCTGTTGCTTAGTATAAGACAATTTGTAATTTTTGGTCTGTTCTACCTTGGTAAACAAAGAGTCCCTGCCACAATTCATTGTGCATGCACATGCACCTCTGAAAATTACAGTGGAAATTCTTTTTTATTATTATTACTGACGGGGACAGACCAATTGGTTTATGCTAAGCAACTAGTCTCAGCCATAGGTTTCCATGGATGTCTATGCATACTGGATAAGAACACCTAACAGTTCCTATAGAGTGATGGTCATATTAGTCTTTCTGAACACAGGAAAAATGGGTTCTCAGCAATGCAGTGGTATAAAGACTGTGTGCTGAGTGGTCCCACAGTTGATGCACTACTGTCTGAAATCACCAAGCCACATCAAAGTATCATTTGAGGTAGAAGACTAAAAGGTGAAAAAGAAACAATTACCTGCTACTTCCACTATCTGGTGTCTAGCAATGTCATAGTATGGATCATCCCACCGCAAGTGAGTAACAGAATCAGGAGAGCCCTTGGTATCATCTACATTAAAAAAAGAGCACAAAAATGCAACTAACAGAAAAACAAACACCTCAGAAGAGCTTAAGATAGGCACAGGATGCAGAAAGAAGACTGATACACAAAATCTCTTCTGTTAGATTTTTGATATTTCAAACTGCATTTCAAATATTTTGACTCGCAGAAATGTTTTATATTCAAGTTTAAAAAATTTCATAATTTAAGCATCAAATTTGATACTGCAGGTTTTAAGAGCACAACTGTGCAAAATGTAACTGCACAAAAATTTTACTACTACAAAAAAAACAAGGGTCTACAGTTCTTCACTATGAAATTCTACTTTTTTCAACTACAATAAAGTGAACTCAAACTACACAATATTGCAAGATGGTTACATCTTTGGTGTACACAGCCTGTCATTTCCTCTTTTTCACTTAGTTATTCACAACCTATTGCTTTAGTTGAAATGAATCCCAACTTAGAATAGGGAAAGCAAACACACTCTCCTGGAAGATCTCAGAAGTCTAAGATCAGTATTGCAAAATGGGGTATGGCTCCCTCCCATAGCCAGTACCAAAAATGAAAATGCTCACCAGACTTTGGAAAAACAGGAACTTCATCCGGTGGCCAGTTCTTGTCATCTAGAGAGGCCAATTTGAGCTGATTAAGGGATTCATTGGTATCCTCCAAACTCAGGTCTTCTTGTAGGTCTGGGTACTGCTCCATGGTTTTCAGACTTCAGGGACTCAACTAATAAATCTAAAAGAGACTGCAGACATCCACAGGTAAGCAAATAATTATCAATGTATTCACAAAGGCTTTCACGGCCGGATCCACAGGTAAGCAAATAACTATCAATGTATTCACGAAGGCTTTCACGGCCGGGATCTAATGGTTGTTGTGGGTTTTTTGGGCTCTTTGTTTCAGAACATGGCCAAAAACCCACAACAACCATCAAATAACTATCAATTTCACTGGCATAATCCAACATTCTCCCTTTGTACACAGCCATCTATCAAACTTTTCCCTTATATCTGAGACGAGAGGGATACCAATGGCAATACGTTTCCTGGGGCATACTCCATATTTTCCTTCCCCCCCCCCTCCCAAATATGACCAGGTTGCTTTCTGTTTGTAGCATATACAAGTGGAAGGGAATGATACATCACAGCAGTTCTCTCACACGCTGACTGTGACTTCATTTCCTACTTCTCTTGGCAAAGTTGCCAAAAGGCCAAGATGCTTGCCCACTGAGGATTTACAATGGACATTTTTAAATAATACTGCTACACTCACCTATCAGACTAACAAGAGACATGCATGAGAAATCTGCACAGTACTAAAGGCAAAACTCTAAAGGAGCAGATTATCCAGCTAATCCTCTGTGGTAGCAAATATTAGGCAGGATGTTATAGTTATGTCCAGTGTTAGATAATAGTCATATAATGACAGAGAGGTAGAAAAAGCAACTAAAGGGTTCTAAAGATTGTAAAGAATCTAGTTACTCATCTAGCGCTTTTGGACTATCATTATTTCCATGAGACCATCAGCATTCTAAAACTAGATACAGACTGTAAAAGTGTAATACTAAGTTTGATGGAGTTAGCACCACAGGACAGACACCAATATCCATTAATAATGAAGTACTGTATATGAGGTTATTAAAGAAGCTAATTTAATCTTTCTCCCACGACAGGACATGAAAGCAAACATAATCATGACACTAGAAGAGACAGATAATTCTTCAGGAAATAACCAATCAGCTCTCAGATTACACGTGTCAAAAACACAATGCAACTGTGAATGAAGCAAAGGTGACAACCAATATCAGAGATTTTGATTAACAGATACACAAAAGTATGGGCAGGCAAGATGTAACCTAATATTATTAACATTTCATTAAGAAGCCCTCTAGACACTTCCCCAATGCTTCACTGAATCTTTGGATACCCGCACTTGAGGGGGACCTATGATTTACAGCTTTACAGACCCTTCAAAGCTTGCATATCATTGTCCTTACTCTCCAGATGGCTCTCAGCTTACTGTGCAGCATGTCAAAGTGAATTCCTATAACCAGACAAAACACTACATATATGGTCAGGCAATCTTCAGGGCTGATCAGATAGCTTTTAAGAACTGGCAAATCCACAAAGTCAACTTCAGTGACTCTTTGGTCCTCTCTCAAAGATTGGAGGAGATGCTTGACCTCAGTGAAAGGAAACAGCAGTACACTTTTCTCATCTGAAGTATTAGCTAATGCTGCAACCATGCTTAAATTGCAGCCAACCATCTGCCCCTAGCAATATACGCAGTTTCTATGGAAACCTTAACCAGCAGTTGCAGTGACTCACACTTCTTGAAACAACTCTAGATCTAGCAGCATATTCTCATAATTCTCTAAAATTAACCAATGAAAAAATATGTTTCTTTAAAATTGAAAATCTGTTAACATGAATAACAACATTATTCCTGGCAGCAGAATGCAGAAAATACCAAACATATGTACTGTATACTGGTTCCAAAAAGACCCAACTCACTGAATGCAACTGGCTCACTTTAGTACACAGGGACTACCATTTCCCTAGATTTTACATTATGATAAGACTTCACATCTATGAGAGAAAATGCCACTGGTACTCCTTTTATTAAAAGAACAAATCCCTTCAGCATTGCATGCTGGAGAGAGGGGGAATAACCTGTTAATCAGAACAAAGAATTAGAACCATAGAATTGCAGAGCTGAAAAGGACACCAAGGGTCATGGATTCCAACCCCCTGCCAAAGCAAAAACTCTATAGATAAAGCAATCTGACAGGAAGCCACTTGAAAACATCCAATGAATGAGGGTCCACCATCTTCCAAGGCAGTCAGTTCAGTTGTTGAACACAGTTCTTACTGTCAACAAGCTCTTCTTAATGCTTAGGAGAAATCTCTTTCCTCTCAGTTCAAATCCATCACTCAAGAACTACAGAAACAAAATTGTCCCATCTTCCATGTGACAGCTTTTCAAATACTATAGCTAAAGATGACTATTATCCTACATGTCAATATTCACTTCTCCAAGCTAAACATACCCAGCTGCCTCAACTGCTGCTCATACAACTTGGCTTTCAAACTTTTTATCATCCTGGTCATTCTTCTCGAGATACATTCCAGCTTGTTGATATTCTTCTTAAATTGTGGTGCCTAGAAGTGGACACAGTACTCCATGTGACACTTGATCAAAGCAGAATAGAGAAGTACTACTACTAGACACTATACTTCTGTTCATTCAACCTGGCACTACCTTTGCTTCTTATTTTTTTGCTTCCGTCACATAGTTGAGTCATGTTAGTTTGTGACCTACTAAGATCCCAATCCTTTTCACATGCATTACTGTGTCATCTGTCTTATGCATCTGTGTTTTTTCTGCCTAACTGCCTAAATTTTTCCTTGCTGAAAAAACATTTTGTATGTTTTGGCCTAGTTCTCCAACTTGCTTAGGTTGTCTTCAATCCTGGATCTGTCTCCTGAACTATTAGCTACTCCTCATGGAGTCATCTGAAAGTTTAATGAACATACCCTCCATACTCTCATACTAATCACATACAAAGATGCTGAACACAGGGCCCAGGACAGGACCCAGTTGCACCCCACAACTCACTTCTCTCCTGGATTATAAGGAACCATTTAGGAGAGCTCCTCTGCCAGCTACCAATTCATCTAACAGCAGCATCATCTAGTCTACATTATAGCAACCTGACCACAGAAATAACATTAGGGGCCTTGTAAAAAAAATCTTACTGAAGTCAAGATACACTATATCCACAAAATTCTCCTCACCTGAGGAAATATCTCTGAGGAAAGTTGGATCTCCAAATTCCCTGATGCACACTGACCGGAAACTTCTTATTTTAGTTTTCAACAAACTAGCCATTTCATCAAAACAGGCAAATTAAGGTTACATTTCTGCAGATATGGCCCCTTACTTAAAAAGTGTTGTATGAAGCTCTCAAATTAGAAGTATCTCAAACTATTCCACTGATAGAGTGTTATAACTTAAAATGCCTCGTTCCAGACTACCACAGAACAAACGTTTTCAAAGGATGGTAACTGGGACCTACATGAAGACATTTGCTATAGGTAAAGGAAGGGGAAGGTACAATAAATAGTTTTAACTTCTGGTGGATGAGAAACATCATAAATTTAAGAGAAACACACAAGTCTAATTCTTTCATATTACTAACAGCTCTTCAAGCTCAGTTGTTTGAGCTTCCAGAGCTGCAGTAATTAATAGATCCATTGAATTCTCTCTCCATGTGGTATTAGATGTCATACAGAAAGCAGCCATTATGCTTATCAAACCAGCAGTGTGGTCTGTTTCAAGAAAAAGGCAGAATATAGTTAAGCCAAGATGGTCTCTGTCTCAGCTTCCCTCCCTACAAGCTGCGAGATGAAGTCAGTCAGGATCCACTCCCTCCATAACGCAATCTGCTGAATTCTTATAACTGTGTCAGATGACAGGCCCAGAAAAATATCGCACACCAAACATATACTTGACTGCCTTGAGCCTGCTGTGCAATTTCACTGACTCAGCCAACACTTTGTTCCTGGAGGTGATGCAACAATCCAACCACTGAAAGAAGTACGCTAGATTTATAATTAACATGCAAAATATCACTCCCAGGGCAGTTCTAGCCTTCTGCTTTGTTTAGTGGTAGTGGTAGGTGGTTACAACAAATGGACATGAAAATGTTTCACCATGGTGGATCCTCTGTTACTCATTATCTGATGGCTGGCATAGACTTTTGCCATTCCCATTGTACTTTCTGCTCCAGAACATTTTTCATAAATCAAATACAACATTTCTCTAAAAGTCTCCATTCTAGTTTCATCTGCTACTATATTTATGGACACAAATGAGGGTTAGCGGAATAGGTGTTTATTTTCCCAAAGGAATGTCCCCATATTTTGCAGTGGGGGGAAGCATTGCTCAGTTGTTGTTGTTGTTTGCTGTTTTATTGAGCTTCTTTCAACTACTGTACACTCTTTAGCTCACATAGGGAGAGCATAGAGTCCCACTAACACTAGTGACTGCATTAGGCGCACTGGTTCTTAACCTTTGTTACTCAGATGTTTTTGGGCTGCAACTCCCAGAAGCCTTCACCATCAGCTCTGCTGGCTGGGGTTTCTGGGAGTTGCAGTTCAAAAACACCTGAGTAACAAAGGTTAAGAACCACTGCGTTAGGGGACTACATATACCACAGAAGCATAGCCTAACTGCCTCGATCAAAACTCAAAGTTGTCTCTCCAAGAACACTAAATAGAGAGATGTGAATGAGGACTAAGGGGATGCTTAGGATTATCAAATTCACTCCTGTAGTCTTCAAAGCAGTTAAAAGATAGAAATTCCGGCCTACTTCTTCAGCCATTACAGCGCAGCAGTCCAAAAATTACTAAAACACCCTTCTAAGCACCCAAATACAGTACTCCAATACTTTGGCCCTCTGATGAGAGGACTCGACTCCCTGGAAAAGCCCCTGATGTTGGGAAAGTGTGAAGGCAAGAGGAGAGGGGGATGATAGAGGAGGAGATGGTTGGACAGTGTCACCGAAGCTACCAACATGAATTTGACCAAACTCTGGGAGGCAGTGGAAGACAGGAGGGCCTGTGATGCTCTGGTCCATGGGGTCACGAAAAGTCGGACACACTAAACAACAACAAAGCAACCGAAACAGCCTGATTCCATCCATGCTTACTCAAAAATAATGTCCATTATTTTTTAAAAGGCAGTTTATTCTATGTAAAGGTATATACGACTGCTGCCTAGAGACAAATGTTTCGAACTTTAAAATAATTTAATTTAAGGAAGCCCGTGAGAGGAATTTTCACGGAAAGCAGGTCACCCGCGGCTTTTTCCCGCCTGCCGCCACCTGCGGCCCTTCCCACCCCAAGAGCCTCTTCCGCAGTGAGGGGACCCTCCCCAACCATGGGAACGGGGCATAGCGGAGGAGAAGGGGGGCGGGAGAGAGGTCCGCAGCCGGCCTCTCCTGACACAGTGACGGCCTCGGCGACAGGATAAAGACAGAAGAAGCTCGTCCTGGCCGCCTCGGGCTTCTGGCTTCGCAGGACCCCACCCCCCCGACCCACCACCCAACAAAAAGCAAGGCAGAGAGAGAGAGGGAGACTAACCCTCGACGCATGCGCTCTCCCTACCTCCGACTTCAGCCCCCCCCCTTTCCCAACCAGGGGCGCCTCGGTTGCAGAAGGCGAGCCCTTCCCCTTTCCCACCTGCAGAAAGCGGCGCTCGCCGTCCAGGAGCAGAATTTGCCTCCCAGGCAGGCGCGCGTGCCTTCGCTCCTTCCTTATTTCATGAAAGGAAAGCGACTCGGGCGACACCCGGGACAGAACCGAGGCTTCCTCGTCCAACACTCGCCCTCAGCCACTCCCGCCTACCAACCCCCCCTTCACTAACATCCGCCTGAAAACCGGGAGTGGAGGGGGGGTGGGGACTGGTCTCCATGGAAACACTCCCCTCCTCCTTCCGGCACTTGGTGGGACGTGGAAAAGAGGTCCGGGTGCAGCAAAGGCCGGCTAGGCGAGACGTTCCGCTTCTTTAGAAGGGCTCCGAGAGGAGTCATGAAGGGGAGCTTTAGCCAGAGTGAGGGGCTCTCTTGTGGGTCCGAGGGGCGGCCCCTTTCCCCGTCTTCCTTCTTCCTTCGCTCCTCTGATTATCCTTTCGCTTTTCTCCCCATGCAGGTCCGCCCCCGGAGGGGCACGGCAATGGGTCCTCCTGCTGCCCGGTGTGGCGCCTGCCGAGGGGTCTGGCTTTGGGTCCGTCCCTGTCCGCCGAGAAGGGGCTGGGAGTGTGGTGCGTGGGGCGGACCTTGCAACCGGGCACGAGGCTGCTTCTGCAGGGGACAAGGGAAGAGGAGGAGGAGGAGGCGGCGGCGGCGGCACCCCCGGCGGCAGCGGCAGCGGCAGCTTCGGTCCCTTCTTCTTCGGCGGTGAGCCGATGCGGCTTGGGTCTCCAGAGCCCCGCAGCTGGCGTGGGTCCTCTCGTCGCACTTCGACCCTGGGTGAACCGGGTGGTTTGCTGGTCTGGGCTCCTGGTCCTTCTTAGGCTTTAGAAGAGGGGCTCAGGGAGCTGCGTGTCACCTCAGCCAAGTTAAGCAGCCCCAAAGTTGGAGTCAGGATTTTCCTCTCTCTCTAATTTTGCAGCTAGACTACGGAGTCATCTGATGAAAAACAGGATAAGTGGCCCAAAGAGACGAAAGGAAGTCCTTATTCACACAGCATATAACCAGCCCGTGTCACACTAGGCAACGACCACCAGGCTTAGGTGACTCTATAAGGGGATTTGGAAAGGCTGTTGCCATGTGCCCCTCTAGGCGTCTTGTAAGAATCCTGTTGCAGAAAACAACATGAGATCTACCTTTATTCTGATTCAGCCTGTATCTTCCTGTGTTCTTCCGGTTCTTGTGTTGTGTTTTTATAAGAACAGCCATACTGGCTCACACTTTATAGTGTCCTGAAGTACATTCCCACAGTGGCCAGCCACATGAAAAAGCCTGCCAGGAGCACATGAGGGCTGCAGCAGTCTCCCACATGTGATCAGCAGTAACTGGTATGTGGTGTAGTAAAAGCGTTCCTTAGAACTACCTTTACACGAGGCAGAGAGGGATTCAGAATGATCAGTCCCTATTGCCAGCAAAATCGGGTCCTGTAATTTTGCTCTAGGCGACTTCTCACTCCTTCACCCAAGTCTGTCTCGATTTTAAATAAACAATCTGGAAGGTCTGCTCTTCCTCTTTTATTACTTAAGGACCCTCATTTGGTAGCGTAATGTGGCCAGATCAAAACAATCCTAGTTCTAAAATATCCAAGTTACTACAGTAGCTTGGTCTAAACAAGGAGAAAGCTTACAGACAATTTGTCTTTTTATATTTTATTACAAAAGATATCATTTCAACAAGCTCATTTTAACGTCATTCAGTATTTCCAAAATAACCCCCAGCCTTAGCCACCAGTCTTTTCCTCTATAAAGTGAAAACAATAAACAGTCTAGCTATATCTTAAATAAGCATCCTTACGCAATCTCAAAATAAAGTCCTGTCGGCTGCATTTCTCTCGGTGTCGTCTCTCTCCCTTCCATCTCTTCTCCGTCCTTCTCCTTCTCCTTCTCCTTTCGTCTCTTCTTCGCCCATCTTTCTTAAATTAAGAAGTTATGTCCTTGTCCATCGGAGTTGAGATAAGATAAGGGTCAGCTTGCTCTTCTTAACTTTTTTTTTTTTAGCTGGAGAAGAACTGACCTTGTACATTTTTCTCTCTAATTAACACCTGGACACAAGCAGATTTCTAGCTTTTTCGTTCCAGCTCTGAAATAAATCCTATGAAATACAACCCTATTCTATTTTCATAATCAAATTCATGACATGTGGCAGTACTGTGAATTTTCAAGGGTCCTAGCCTCCCCAAGTTGGAAGCTATCATTACATCTGGTGGGAATGAATTCCACAGTTTAGTCACACACTGTGAGGATGTACTGTACTTCTTTTTGTCTTTTCAGAATCTCCTACCATACATCTTCATTGGATTAGCCACATTAGAGTCAGCAGAGAATAACTTCCATGGCTGCTCTTCCACCCGATACCTATCTCCCCTTACTGCTTTCTTCTCTTCTAGGCTAAACAGTCACAAAAGTTGTAACTTACTCACATTGGATAGTTGCACTAGCCACTTCATTTCAGTTACCAGCTTTTCAGCTTCGATGGTCCGGTGACTAGAATTTTCCTCTATTTCAAGAATGATGGCAAATAGATTTGTGTAAAGGCGGTATGATGTTGGAAATTTATTTTGATTCCTTTTTAAATTATGTCCAAAATGGAATTTGATTTTTTCACAGCAGCTGCACATTGGTAAAAAATTTTATTCAATTTTCCACCATAGTCCCACTGTCTCTTTTGCAGTCAAAGTATGTATATAAAGCAGATATATATATATATTCTGCAATAATATACGCTTTGTGTACTTGCTTATATGGAACTTTATTTGCCATTTTAATGCCTATTGCCTGATGTGAAGAGATCCCAATCTTTTAACTTGTTTGTCTGGCTACATAACTGTCATGCTCAGAATATTGCCAAGGTAGTGTTTGGTGCCCCATGTACCCTTGATGAAGCATTTATGTACTTTATCATGCATGCAACTACATTGGCTCTGCACAGCTGACCGTTTCCCTTGTTGGAGTAGAAGGCAGTACAGGTGAACAATAGATGTGTCTGAAGAAGTGGATTTTGATTCGTAAAAACTCACACTAAAATACATATGTTAATCTTTAAGGTGCTACAACATCTTGTCCTTTCCTTTCCGTCTCTCTTTTACTCATCACCCTCTTTATTTTTCCAGCAGTTAAACATGTGGTTTCAGTAAATTGATCCTCGGTTGAAACCTACAGCTAATCCAGTCTTTCATGCTGTGTATCTACCCCTTGGAAACTGTCTAATCAGGAGCTCTTTTGCCCTCCATTTCAGGTATTTCTACCAACCTCTTGGAAAGAGACTCCTGCTTGCAGCAAGATATCCAGCTGGTGGAGGTGAGAACAGACGAAGCACCTGGGTAACAGAGGCATCTTTATAGCCTTCTTAGCTAACTTCATGTATCTCATAAAATACATGATTTTTCAGACTACAATGAGCCACTAAACATTAATTTATGCAGCCTAGTTTTAAACGTGATTATAAACCAGGGTGATATTTTAAATTATTTATTTATTTCAAATATTTTTACTCCCATGTTTCTCCTTAAAAAAAGGCTCAAGGTGGCCATTATCATTAAGAAAGACTGTAGTTGAAAGCTAAAAAAAGGAGCGTATGCAAATATTTTAAAAGAATGAAATAAAAATTATGTTTAAAATGTTAGATAAAAACATTACTAAAACAGATTTTAAAACAATAAAAAGACCAAAAAATCCCCTTTAAAAGCCCCTCTTGGACAGCCAGTCTAGGACAGCCAGCCTGCCTGAAGAAAAAGGTTTTTGCCTGCTTGTGAAAGAACAGCAAAGATGGGGCCAGAAATGGCCTCCTGTGGGAAGGAGTTCTAGAGTCTGGGAGCAGCGACAGAGAAGGCCCTCTCCCTTAACCCCACCAAATGCATGTGTAAGGGTAATGCGACCAAGAGAAAGGCCTTCCCTGATGATCTGAAGACTCAGGCAGGCTCATAAAGGAATATGTGATCTTTGAGATAGTTTGGCAAGCCGTTTAAGGTTTTATAGGTTAAAAGTACTTTGAAATGTGCCCAGAAACAAATCAAAAGCCAATTGAGGTACTGTGATAGGAAAATTATGTAATCCCTATAACCAGTTAACAATCTGGCTGTAGCATATTAGACCTGCTTAGTTTTCCAAACACTTTCCAAAGGCAACCCCATGTAGAGCATGTTACAATATTCCAGGTGGTAGGTAATTAAGGCATGTGTTACCATGCCTGAGGGACCCCACTGGCCAGTGCCCAGGGTGTCAAACAGGAGTCCTCCAGCAACACCTTTTGAGTTCTCCAGAAAGGACCAGACCTACTGTAAAACAGTGCCTCCAAGTCTCATCCCAGAGAGGGGGCAGAAGGATACCATGGTCCATGGTATCAAAAGCTGCTGAGAGATCCAACAGAACACGCTCCTCCTGTCCAGTTCCTGGCATAAATCATCCACCAAACCAACCAAATTGTTCCATAACCAGATTGAAATGGATCTAGATAATCCATCTCATCCGGGAACTCCTGGAGCTGAGAAGCTATGACATGCTCTAGCACTTTTGCCCAAGAACATTAGAAACTAGCAGGTAATTATCCAGTAATGTGGGATGGAAGGAGGGCTTTTTCAACAGCGGTCTTATACTACCTCGTTTGTTTGTTTGTTTGTTTGTTTGTTTGCTTAATATGCTGCCCAATTAGTGATTTCACACTACTCTTTAAGCATTGTTGTTTAGATTCTTAAATATATATATTTAAAAGTCACTTCTAGCAATATTAAAACATATTTAAAGAACCAAAATAAGAATTATCTATATAGTGTTCATATACAACAACTAGCATAAAATAATGAAAAATCTATGATAATCATTGATAAATAAAAACATAACATAGACCAATGTACTAAAACAGCAATCATACACCATCAGATGCTTATGGGTCATAAACAATACTCTGAATTGTGCCTGGAAACAAACCAGTCATCTATTAAAGTTATAAGAAGGGAGTCATATACTTCCTGGCACTGGCCCTAGTCAATAGTCTGACCACAAAATTATATACCAACTGAAGTTTCTGGTATAAAAATATTAACAATCCACATGAGAAATAACTAAAGCATATGCGACTATATCCAAATCAGTGGTGGCTCATCCATTAAGGCAGGTGGGGTGCTGTCCCACCAAACCGCCTATAGTGATCCAACTCCTGCCTCTTCCTTTATCAGAGACAAAATGTTTCTTATGTGTAAGTCCCTTCTTGTCTCCCTGCGTTTTTGTTTGTGTGTGAAAGAAAAAGATTAAAGCAATGAACAGCTTTGCCCTGGCTCCGCTCACCATTGGTTGTTTTGCCTTCCACTTCACGAACTATAATGTGCACCATCTACCAATGAGTTAGATCAGGTATCTCTAGGAAACAGGCACAGCTGGCACACTAGCTTTCACTGAGCAGTGTACAAAACCTAGGCATCCATATTCAGGGCTGAATCCATACATATGCCCAGACTACAAAACTGAGTCTTCAGAGAGCATAACATTCTCCCAGAGGAGAAAAGCCAGCATGCAAATAGTCATGTGTATTTTTTCTAAACAATCCAATCAACATCATTGGGCTCTGCCTACTGAAACACATCCAACAACGCTGACCATTTAGATATTTTAAACTGGATATCTCATCTGATTCTACTTCTATAACAATGGAATAGAGCTGCTGGATAGTTCAATAATTTAGGTCTCTAGCTACAGAGCGAGAGGTTGGGAGTTTGATTCTCCATTGTGCCTCCTTGACAGGGGTTGGATTTGATAATCTATAGGGTGCCTTCCAGGGACGTGGTGGCACTGTGGGCTAAACCGCAGAAGCCTGTGCTGCAGGGTCAGAAGACCAGCAGTCATAAGATCGAATCCACGCGACGGAGTGAGTTCCCGTCGCTTGTTCCAGCTCCCGCCAACCTAGCAGTTTGAAAGCATGTAAAAATGCGAGTAGATAAATAGGTACTACCTCGGTGGGAAGGTAAAACGGCGCTCCCTAGTCACACTGGCCACGTGACAACGGAAACTGTCTTCAGACAAGCACTGGCTCTACGGCTTGAAAACGGGATGAGCACCGCCCCCTATAGTCAGACACGACTGGATTGAAAATGTCAAGGGGAACCTTTACTTTTACCTTTTTGGGTGCCTTCCAGCTCATCAGTTTTGTATTGAGATGATGACTTGTCTCAGTCCTCTTGGATGCAAATAATTTTATCCTGAAAATGCGTCACAAAGAGAAATCAGGCTCCATTGACTCCAGCCTTGCTTGAAGTCAGGTTTCAATTTACAGAACTCATTTGTAAATCAGACTTAAGTGTTTACCCCACCAGAGTGTCTTATCATTCTGATAAAACTATCTAGAATCATTCCTATTCAAAATGAGACCTAAACACACAATACTCTTAGTATTCATTGCTACAAATCCTGTAAAGCTGTGGTTATCAGATTGTTCCTTCATGTGACCAGGCCAATTTTCAGTCTGTTATAATAGTTCTTCAAACAAAATGAATCCAGACACAAGAGAAATCAGCTAAGTATTTTGCTACATGTTTGAAAAGAACATCTAGTCCAACAAAATATTTGTGCCTGCTGTCTTATGTTGGTTACTGATAAATGGATTCCATTTCATTACAAACTTATGTCACTGCTGATATAGAAATTCAACTGTTTTAATGGCAACTATTTGTGTGCACTTTGTTTCTGTCACAGATAAGAACTGACAGCTCCTTTGCTCTTTTCACTTTCTCCTTTTGAATTTTTTCCCCGATGATAAAGAAAGTCAGCTACAGGGTGGCCAGATGGGTAGGACAAAGTTGTGGGAAGGGAATGCTGTAGAGTAACTTTCCTATCTGCTTTGGTTATCTTGCCCTGCAAAAGCTGTAATGTGATTCTTAACTCCCCATAACTAGGCTCCTTCCTCAGCTGCTGAAAACTTTACATCTCCAGTCCACAGGATGAGATTCTGTTTTCAACTTGCTTGAAAATGTACGTAGTTTTTAATATATTGGCTGAACTATTTGTCTACTAAGAGAAGGCCAGAATTCCAATCCTGAATTTTGATGCAATAGACATAAACTTGTTAATCAACTCTGGTGGAAATCTGAACTGTTTTGCTTATTTGATCGTTTCAATTAATTAATTAAAAATCTTTTGGTAGATTAAAAAGGTTAGTTAGGCAGCAGATGTACTGAAAATAATTAACTTTGGGTTTGTTTTTGTTTATCTTTGGTAAAGTACATGGATGGTAGAAAAAGCATCTTAGATAAAGCATGCTGCCTATCTTATATGGGAAACAACATCTTAGAAGAGATACACCCTTCTGTAACGAACAGTCAGCTCTGGAATTGAATTTGGCCCTTAGGGTTTCTCTAGAACAAAGTGTGCTTACAAGACTGTGTGGCCTCCCACCATCTCTCAGACCCCTCTTTTTCCATCAAAAAATATTGATTCCTATTCCTGGAAACCTCACTTGACTAGGTCACAGCTCTCTCTCCTTCATTTCATACCCCAAAGCATACACTTCCAAAATGAAAGGGATTTTCCAGTTTATTTTTGTACTCTTTGGTATTTTTGGCAGTCTGTATTTTCCCAGAACAGAGAGTTCTGTGCCCCTCCCCACCCTCCTTAGGGTTCTGTGCTTCACACTGAGTGAAGATTGGCTGCTAATGTTGAGTGTAATGTGTTTTGCAGCCTGGTGAAGCAAAGCCATGATGAAGGCAAGGCAAATGTGGCATTTGAAAGGATCGGTGGGGAGCTCCACATCCGAGTATGCTGCCCCATTGCTGTTGGCACCGAACTGCTCTGCTGGTTGACAGGTCCTCTAACTAGCCCTGCTTGCCTAGAAAGAAATGGATCAAGAAGTGGGTCAGATGGGCTATTACAGAAGAAAGAACTACAAGACCTGCTAGCAGGGGCCATGACGGGAACCAGAAATGTAGAACTAGAAGTTTCTGTCCAGCAAGGAAAGTCCTCCTTAAATGGAAGTGCCATAGATTCCTTTGCAGGTACTGTACCTGATACCTAGGAATGGTTTTTTAAAAGTACGTCATAAGGGTTTTAGACAGAACCAGAAGAAAATGTTGTATTTCAGCATTGCATATTGACATTGCAAATCTCTGGTAATGGGAATGCATGAGTTTAACAAGGAATTCCACTGTATTTTATTTTACAGTGGTGCCTCGCTAGATAGTTACCCCACATGACAGTTCTTTCGCTAGACATTGACTTTTTGCGATCGCTATAGCGATTCGCAAAACATTGATTCCTTTGGGGGAATTTCGCTGGACAATGTTTGGTCCCTGCTTCACAAACTGATTTTCGCTAGATGACGATATTGACAGCTCCCCCCGCGCTCACAAAACTGGTGTTTTCTGGAACTAAGCTTCGCAAGACAGCAATTTAAACAGGTGATTGGTGGTTTGCAAAGTGGCTTTCCTATGGCCGATCTTCACTAGACAACGATGATTCTTCCCCATTGGAACACATTAAACAGGTTTCAGTGCATTCCAATGTGGAAATGCTTTTCGCTAGACAATGATTTTGCTAAACAGGTATTTCAGTGGAACGGATTATCATTGTCTAGCGAGGCACCACTGTATTTATCTATTTAAATACTTGTACCATAAACCACTATTTTGCAATGGTGTTTGGAAGTTTTAATTAATGTTCAGTCTTGATCTAGTTTATTGGTACTGGAAACTGTTTTGTTTTTCCTTTTGCAAGGAGAGTTTGGATTAGGTGGGTTCTTTTCATAGAACATAGGAATTCTCCCCAATTTGCAAACTAGCAAAATTCAATAGCAATAGTTATATAAAGTCTGTCTGGCTTTTAGAAAGGTTAAGTTTAAACACTTCTACATTTCTGATACCGTGGTGGAAGGCACTGAGATTTTCCCATTCTATGGGGGGGGGGAAGTAAATTTGAAAATTGTGCTCTCTCTTGCTGGGAATAAAACTCTGAAAAGTTGGTGTTCCATGTCTTGATTTGAATGACTATAGAACTGCATCTAGGAGAGTGTAAGACTTGCTGGAGACCACTCTGTAAACACAGTGCTGAACAGAAGTTCAACATTTTCCAGCCCTTTATGCACTAGCCTATGTTTGGCTCAGCAACATCTTGTCAGCCAGCGCCATCTTGTCAGCAGTGCTTTGCTGTGTTAATAGAATACTGCAGGAAGCTGTTTCTTTGAGAAGTATATGTTGTGAACCAAAATCCCCCCCAGTCATGCCATTATGTGTATCTGATCAGAGATCTGTACTGCACACCTGTATTATTTCATCTCATTTGAGGTATCATGATTTCTCCAGAAGAAGTGTTCAAACTGTGATTTGATTAGGTGTTGAAATTTCTCAACTTAAAAATCTTAATGCCATCCACTCACAGAACTGTAAATCCCAGGAAATACCAAACAGCTATAAAAACAAATATATTAGTTTAACTCTATTACACTCTGACAATTGCTGTAACATTTTTTTAAAATATAGTAATCTACTATAAATCAAATAATGCCTTTTCTACTCTTCATTTAGTCTGCATATATGTCTGGTCTTATAGGTACAGTTTATATGGTTATTGGCATGTCCATATACATTTTTATGATGTATTCATGACTCCATCAGATACATGGCCACGTCTTTTTTCCTGATGCTGGAACTAATCACATTTTTTGGAGTTTTTCACTTTCTCTCAAAGATGTATATGTGGAAGTACAGCTCCTTTGACATTATTCTGTATCTATGTTCCCTTCTTTAACAATGTTTTTAGTTGAAATGGGAGGCTGTCTCTGCCTTTGGTGTCTAAAGAAATAATCCAGGATACCAGTCACCACAGTATGATGTAATAGATAGAATGACAGACTAGAACTCAGGAGACCTGGGTTTGAAACCCCATTTAGGAAACTCATTGGTGGAATAGCACTGATCAAACCACTTCTTAGATATTGCACTTATTTGAAAGCCATTGAATGAAACTTGATGATACATAACACACATCATTAACCACAATTGTGCAAGTAAGTTGATTCAATGTGGCTGTTCTTGCTTTCTTTTAAAAATGCACAAAACTGCAAAGTTTTTGAAATATGTGGTATGTTTCAATGCTCCTTTTTATACATTCAGTTACCTTATTTTAAATTTGGTAGCCAAGCACTTAGGGAAAAATCCATTATGCATAAGAGAAAGGTTAGAATGAAACTGTTACTGTAGTACATTATTTTCGTAATTTCAAAATGATATCTTTTAAAGAATGGAACAAACTTGTAAACATTATTTTGTGATTAGAATTGGTCATGTTGTACAAGAGATTTAGAGGGCTGTAATTTTAAAAGAAAACTTTTAAAGGTCTGGAAAAGAGGATACTGTCCTTCCATAAATGATGATGTAATGAATACTGAAGTATTCTTCCTATGATCTTTAAAATGGAGGGTATTATTCAGGCATTCTTAGAACAAGAGCTTTGATCAGTGAGAGTACCCTGAAGTTCTGTAGTGAACCACATTCCTCCATTCACCATGATGGTGGCAGGTAGTGGGATGATGAATAGAAACACAGAGCGTTTTCTTTTAAATGTCAAAGGTTATCTTGCCTTGTTAAGAAAACTAACTGCTGTGGATTCCAATTTACAGGCGTTCCTGATATATTCAAGATTGTGGAACACAAAGCAAGAGACCCTTGTGTTCCTAGGCTGAATAAAAAGGTGCCAACTGAACAGCCCCTTCATTCAGATGAGGAAGGCAAGAAAAGGAATGAAACCAGGCTTCTGACGAAGACCAAGAAACAGAGAGAAGAGAGCCAGCAGTTCGTGAGCTGCACCATAGGTGAAGACAGTGAAGGCAAAGAAGATGTGCCAGATTCTCTGGCAGATCTAATGACAGAGACGGCAGCAGAGTCAACATTGGGTAAAACGTCTTCACAGCCACTGTCCAGTGTAGTTTCACTCAAGACTTCCTTGCCTGAGAAGGTTCAGCAGCTGAAGGTCTCATCTTGTGTGGAAGAGGTCCCCCCTGGTTGTGCCATGCCCACACGCAGGGACAGAAGGAGGAAGCAAGGAGGGAATACCAAACAAGAGGAGAAGTCTCAAAGCAAGATGAGCCCACTTCCACTCATGAGGGAGGGAGGCAGTGAACGACGGTATCAGTGCGAAGAATGTGGTAAAGCCTTCCTGCAGCTTTGCCATCTGAAAAAACATCGCTTTGTGCACACTGATCACAAACCATTTCTGTGCATGGAGTGTGGCAAGAGCTATAGTTCAGAGGAGAGTTTCAAAGCACATATCTTGGGCCATCAAGGGGTGCGGCCTTTCCCCTGCCCACAGTGCCACAAGGCGTATGGCACCAAGCGTGACCTTCGAGAACACCAGGTCCTGCACACAGGCCAGCGCCCTTTTGTCTGCCCAGAATGTGGGAAGTCCTTTGCTCGACGCCCCTCTCTCCGTATCCACCGCAAAACACACCAAGTGAAGAAGCCAACTCCTTCTGCTGTAGATGCCTGTCAGTGTGTCATATGTGGGCGGGACCTAGCCAACCCTGGATCACTGCGCAATCATATGCGACTGCACACAGGGGAACGCCCCTATACTTGCCCCTACTGTTCCAAAGCTTTCCGGCAGCAAGGCAACCTGCGTGGGCATCTCCGCCTCCATACAGGAGAGCGCCCTTATCGCTGCCACTTCTGTGGAGACGCTTTCCCCCAGCGCCCTGAGCTGCGCCGCCACATGATCTCTCATACAGGTGAAGCTCACTTCTGCACAGTCTGTGGGAAGGCACTGCGTGATCCACACACACTACGAGCACATGAGCGCCTGCACACAGGCGAGCGCCCCTTCCGCTGCCATCTGTGCCCCAAATCCTATCCTTTAGCCACGAAGCTCCGGCGCCACCAGAAAGCCCACCATGATGACAAGCCCCACCGATGTAATGTTTGTGGCATGGGCTATGCTCTGCCCCGGAGTCTGTGGCGACATCAGCTTGAGCACAACAGCAACCTGAACAGGGATCTCTCTCCAGCTGGCAGTGGGAGAGGCACCCAGCAGTTGCAAACTTTAGAACAGCCCACAGTGCTGCTTGTGCACTCGATAGATGCAGCAGTGCCGAGGAACAACGCCAAATTTTGCAGCACCAGTAATGGGCACTATGCTGCGGCACAGCAAAATTCTCCTGGAGATGAAGATGTAATGAATACCATACTCTCAGATGCTGAGGAAGAATGTATGATAGTTCAGGAGGAGGGCACTGCCAGTGACTTGTTCATTATTCAGGAGGGTGTTGGTTTTAGCACTGTGGCTGAAGTGGTTGAGATTGAGGTGGGAACATGACTGCTAGTCTTTATAAATCACATTAAAATCATTTGAGTATGTCCAAGTGTGATCTCCCTGTGCTTAAGAGGGGCAACATGAGGGTCAAGAACTTGATGTTGGATAATTTGGAGAGCCAGTTTGATGTAAAAGTGTAGTAACACTGAAGAGACCTGGCTTCAAATCATGGTCATGAAACTCTGAAGGTAGCCTTGGAGCACAATTTCTCTCAGCTTCTGCTACCTCACAGGGTTGTTATGAGGAAAAAGTGGAGCGTAGGAGAGCCACCTGTGCCACTTTGACATCACTGGAGGAAAGGCAATATGTTTGGCAAGAGTACACCAGCTACAACATCAGAAGTTTCACATTCAAAGGAATAACTGGCATAAGAATGAGCACAAGAAGGTTGGTATCTAAATATGATTCCACTGCATTGTAACTTTTAAAAAGAGTGGCCATGTCTTGTGCAACTCAAGATTCAAGAAAAGCTCTGACACCAGCACTAGCTTGATTTTAAAAGAATGTTGATATCATTAAAAGGATGCTTAGGGAAGACCTTCCTCTGGGAAGAACATCTGACCTATAACACTCTACCAGTTAGTTTAGAAACATGGAAGGCCAGGAGGAGAACATTTGGCCGAGACTGGGTTCCAACACTGTTTCTCAAGGTTGTACAGAGAAGGGATTGATATAGATTCTGTGTATTAAGCCAGCCGTTATTCCCAGGGGAAGTACCTTCACTAGGCATTATTTTAATGCTGTCAGCATTGTTAGTTTGAATTATCTTTAACTGAGAGGTTTTAGTCCTTAGTAGTTCTGTAGTGTGTACCCAGTGTGGTGTGAGGGATAGAGTGATGGACTCGAACTCTGGAGAACAGTGTTTGATTCCCTGCACAGCCATGGAAACTCACTGGGGAACTGGAGAGACCACTTCTTAAATACTATACTTACCCCTGTCAGGTTTGCTGTAAGTTGGTTTCAGTTTGACGGCACATAACAACAACAGTTCTGTAGTATGTTGTTGTGTCTCCACAGTTCTTTATAATAATTCTCTTTTGTCCTCCCAGTAATGATAATCTCTTCAGAATTTGAGAGTCTGAAAATATATAACTAGGAAGAGATTTTATTCTATGCACCTCTGATCTAGAGAGCTGATATAGCTCATTGGGTTGGAATGGTTGACTGTGAAACCAGAGGTCAGAAGTTTGAATCCCCAGTGTTCCTCCCAAGAGGGGGGCAAGCCGAGATCACTCGGAGCATTTGAGGCTGGCGAAGTTACATAATTATTTCTTATTAACTCTGACCCAAAATTGAGTCTCAGTTATACCAGAAAATATTAAGAGTATGCCCTTCACTCAGTGTCTTGGATATATTGGACGCTGCTGATTAGGTAGTTGCCAGTGCCCAATTACCACATTTGCTTCTTGCAGGCATGAAATGAGCCAGCTGCAACTTAACAACTGGTAGGTTCTGTCAGGTAAGGTTTTTTTTAAAGCTATGTCTCCAATTCTCACATTTCCAGCTAGTCATTCTGCAAAATGACTACACAGTGCAAATCACCAATTTGATGGTTGTGTTCTTTTCCCTTTACCAGTAGTTAACCTACATTGTAAGCCACAGTGTGGCACTCTTCTTTAGATTTGGAGTGCCTTTATGCAATCTCTGGTGTACATCCCCCCAGCTGTTCCAGCCAGAAAACTACTCCAGCTTTTGTATGTTTCAAATATTGACGCAGTTGTAAAGTGATCTCACTAAAGCCCAAACAGGAAATCTGTATGTGAGCCAAACTCTTTGTCTTCCTCCCAGGCTTGTCGTGGTGTCAAGCACGTATCTTGGTCTAACTTTGCCAAGGTTTCGTGGTGAGGTGGGGTAGGGGACTTTTGCTTGCTTCTCTATCAACATGGAGTGCTTGTTCTCATAGTTTTAAGCAACTACAATGAGGTGATAAATTTTAACGAGTGAGTGATAAGAGAGAGTGACAGTTGTATTAGCCAAACCGGCTGTTGAAGACTGTCACATGTCATGGTATTCAACGTGGAAATTACTACATTATGTCCCTGATTCGCACAGGGAATCCTCCTGATTAATGCAAGTTCTGGTGCTGAATTAAAAATGATTTTACTTACATTTTCATGCATGTGCTGGTGTCCAGATCCTGGTGTACTATCACTGGACACCATCCAGGATAAATTAGCCTTCTAAGTTGGTTTATAATAGTCACATAACATTAAAATATACAACAAGAGCAGCTCAACATCAGATACGCCCTCAGATGAAAAGAGTAAATAAAAGCATCCATGTGCCCTTGAAGCACTGCAAAGATTGCAAAGATTGTAGAAGCAGATACATACTTACTGTGTTGAGACACAGTGAGGTTTATTTCTTGAAGGGGCATTTTTAGAACTGGGTTCTCATTATCTGTTACTATAACAGATACTAGAGCAGTGATGGCAAAACGCATTGTTACAAAATTTACTGCGATAATATGGAAATGTCACTTTACCCAACAATAATCAAATGGTTTTATTAGCAGAAATCGAAGAAGAAACACAGTAATGAAGGCTTTCTAAACGCTTACTCACACTGACACTGACTGATTCCAACTCTCTCTTCTGACTGTAGCAAGAAATGCCACGTACTGTTTTTCAGCTACTCGGTGTCATTCATTTGCATGTTCTTCCATGTGCAGAAATATCAGATGGTTATTTGCTATCAAACAGTTGTTTTCATAAACAATTTTTGTTTTTGTTTGTTTTTAATGGAGGCAATAGGTTAGAAAAGCCATGTTTTACCCAAACAAGCAAGAGAAACTAAGGTTTTGTCCTACGTTTATTTTTCTTGCTTGCTTGGTTGCATTCATTTTCTATTCCTATTTTAACTGTAAAAGATCATCACATTTCTTCAAGCCTTCACAGACCCCAGTGAGGACATTGAGGCCTCCTGAGGGTCTGCAAACCACAGGTTATGAACCTATGGCCTACACCAGTGTTGGCGAATCTATGGCATGCGTGCCGCAGATGGCACGCAGATCCCTTTCTGCAGGCAATCGAGCCATAAGTCGCCAGATCACTACTCCCCCCCCCCACATCCAAACCTCAGGATGCAGCTGCAGCCACGGTGCCAGCGGATCTGGAGTGGGGTCTCGAGGCACCTCTGTGCTCGAGATTCCCCCTTCCACCACCACTTCCTGTCCCACAGCGCCCACTGTGTGTTTTGTTTTGTTTTGTTTTCCAGTTTGGGCACTTGGGCCCAAAATGTTTCGCCCCCACTGGTCTACACTCTCAATGATTCCCTTTATATGGAAGTCAGAACTGTCCTATATGGCTGCTTCCCTTTTAGTAATCCTGAGCTCTAAACAGGACCACAAAACCTAGCAGCAAAATATGGTAGATGTTAATTGTCTTTCAAATTTCAATGGTGGGCACACATTGCCAACAGAAGGCCATAGCCCCAATCAGCTTGGCGATAGATCCCTTTCCTGGCTGTTCTGCACTGAAGCCTTTGTCACAAGAATGGCTGCAGTCACTTTAAGAGATTCCACCACTCTCTTGTTTGACATTCCTGGGATGTCATGGTGGGCTGTATTTCCAGGTAAAACATTTATTGTGTAATAACTCAGCCTAATTGACAGAATATTAGCATCTAGACAAAACTGTATTTGGTTCATAAACTTCCTGTGTTTCTTCCTTTCACTGAGCCTTTCTCACTATTCTCTTTGCTATATGGCGTTTGTATGTTATCTCCCTGTTCATTAATCCCTGCTCTCAGTTGCAAGAGGAGACTGTATAACTGCTCTTTGTTCAAGTGGCCAAAGAGTTATTTCCCAGCTGCCCTAATGCTAATATTTACTTGCCTGTGATAGACAGAACAAATACTGACTAGAAACCTGTTTGAGAAAAAGAGAAATTTAGTAGAACAGAAAGACCCCAAGAACCAGAGTGTCTGTCCACTGTTTTACTGTTTATTCTAAATGATAACCAAAAGGAAAAAGCTGAACTTAAGCAAACTGAAAGCTAATTTGGACTCTCCAAATACATATATTCCAAGTGATTAACTGAATTTAGCAGTTGACTGTGGGTTGTTCTGAAAAAATGGGTGTGCCTCAGAACTTGATTGTCCTGAGGCACAGCCTGTATTGTGGTCAAGAAGCTACTGTTAGAACAGACTATGGAGAGACAGAATGGTTTCTTATAGGCAAAACTGTCAGACAAATTAATATGCAGATGACATCATCTTACTGGAAGAAAGCAGCAATGACTTGGAATGACTTTTAGTGAATGTGAAAGAAGAAAGTTCCCAAGCAGGACTGCAGCTGAACATTAAGAAGAAAATAATTACTACAGGCAAACTACACAACTTTAATGTTGAGAATGAAGGAATTTAAATTGTTAAATATTTTGTATATCTTGGTTCAATCCAAATGGAGACTGCAACCAAGAAATCAGAAGTGGGTCCTTGAGCAAATTAAGCCTGTCTCTGGAGGCAAAAATAATTAAACTGAGGCTTTTATACTTTGGGCACATATCATGAGAAAGCAAGGTTATCTGTAAAAAACCAATAATGTTGGGAAGGTTGAAGGCAACAGGAAAAAAAGGAAAATCAAAGGCAAGATGGATTATCTCCCTAGAGGAATTATAGGCTTGAGTTTACAAGAGGTGAGCAGGGCTGTCGAGGACAGAACGTTTTGAAGATTGCTCCTTCATAGGGTTGCCATAATTCAAGGAGGACTTGACAACGTGTAATAACAACAATAGTTGTCTGCATCTTTTTCATAGTCTTCCTTTCTTCTCCAGTCAGAAATCCCTGACTACTGCCATATGGTTTAAAACAAGAGAGAGTCCATTGGTCAGAGTCCATTTAAAACAAGGTCACAGTCCATTGGTCCTTAAATGGATGATGGTAGGAGTGAATCTATCCCACTTTATTCTATTAGTCCCATCCCAGTGCTCCATCTCTTTTCTTTACCCACCTTAATTTTCCTTCCACATTGGCCTTTTTAGTGCCATCATGACATTTTCCCCACTCTTGCCTTTTTTTCTCTCTCTCTACTTCAGTACACAGCACAGT